ATGTGATCGAATTTGACTTTCTTTATTCAGATAAAGTCTGAAATTTTTACATTTCCATTTTTGTGTTACCATTTTTAGTCTATTTTTAAGATGATAGTCTCTGCTCTGGACAGGCATTTTACTTATTACCTGTGGAATAGGGAATTCAATGTGATGGGTGGGATAAGTGGTTCCATAAGTTGTGTACCCGCTTAAATCCCATTATCTATAAAAGGTACTCGAAGCCCAACTCCCATTGACATTGTATGTTTTATTGTCCAAGCAAAGCAATATTTATCCGAGAGGCAATTAGCCTTCTGGCGTTGATTAACAATAGGTTGGTGAGAGCTATACCGGTACTGATAGAGAAGAATGCGTCAGTGTCGTAAGTGCTGTTACGGCACGTACCAGACACCTGATTGCGCAACACTCAGTCGAGATTACCGTCCTGAAACAATTAATGAGCTACGCACCATTAGTTACAGGTGGCCAAGTTGCTACAGCAGCGACTCATGACCCAGACAAAACCATTGTTGTCCCTACTAGTTCTAATGTGGAAGCTGCAACTGATGGGAAATTGATGACGCGGAGACATAAAAGAGAAGGGAAGATAGCCCAAATAGTGCCTGTTTAGTTGAAAAGTCCTTGGTGGACTCATATGCTGAGCCGCAGCAGAATAAATAGCATCGACTGGCGATGAGTGAATTCGAATTTAAATGTGTAGTTCCCGCTCGCAGGATAATAATAGTTAAGTCGTGAAATGATAATTACATTGACGGGCGATATTCGTTGCTGCAATTCATAATAATCATAAAATGTGAAGTCAGTGGACATTGTCGTCTGCGTTATGACAGATGCATTGAGTTATCGTTAAATATGTATTAGTAGAAGAACGACCAGAGGAACAGAATAGCGACTGAGTAGACGAGGTACGTAGAGTCGTATTCCTTTTTGGTCGTGAAGCCTAGAGTGGTTTGTGCGGTTTGAGGGAGATGCGGTCGACCTCGTTTGTTACAAAACCGTACCAAGGCATGACAGAAATACCAATACATATGATTAGCGATGGCGGCGTATGAGACTGACTTGGATGCGACGAACAAGCGTGTATCTTTGAGAGACTGGCTCTAAACTCTATGTCCTGATATACCGTGCGATAGGTATAGAATAGTAGTTGCAGCACTCGAATAATAATTTTGGGTGATTAAATGATGCGGCATGCAGTTATGCATGTGAAAGAACAGATAAGATGAACGTAATGGTTTCTAGTCAGCTAGTTAGAGGCATCCACAGACATGATAGGCGATTTTGAAATGAAAAATCTATGTTATGACAACATAAATTGCTGACCTCGACTAAGTGAATGAATGAAATACTAGATCAAAATGACGTGAAAAAAGATTGGAACGAACTCACTTAAAGCAGGAAAATTTCACGTTTTTGAATAGTAAAAATATTCCAATGAGTTCTCGTTGTCATTATGTGGAGTGGAATCTTCATAAAATGATAATTTGTTCGGTGATATGATTGCGAAAATGTCATAATTTAATGACAGCACGAACAAGATTAATAGTTCCACATTCGGTCATGATATGGACGATAATGTAATATTAAGCATATTATGATAATTTGGATCGTAATGGAACAAACCGACGAATGGATCAATGAGAATAGTCGGCATGAGGACAAAGTAACAATAAGATAATAAGATTTGTGCATGTCCATGTCGTGCTGCACAGGCTTTTCTGAGTGCGTCGGATTAGAGATTGAGCTGGACCCGTTGAGTGTGTTCGTCGAATGCATCAAGTGTAGAAACCTCTCCATGGACGTAGCTTGCTGCGTTAGTTTCGTCGTCGGCGGGCTTACCATTTTAGAGCGTACCAAGAAATGTTATCGCCTATTCTCGTATATCATCGTCGACTTAAATCGCGTTATCCAATAACGGAATTAAATAAGTCGAATGACGAGAACTGATTTGCGAATACATATATTTTGTACATGAAGCGAATGAAACAGAAAGCAAAATGACACGTAGTGAAGATGGCTGGGAAGCCAACTCCATCTTTGTCAAGCGTTCCTCAATATTTATAGTCAGACAAAATAAAGATACAGACATGTGATTAATGGGATAAGAAGGGCACACACATATACGCTCATATAAAAACAGTCTAGATTGATAAGCGAATAAATAACAAAGTCAAAGTATGGCTCAAGAAGAATGAATAAAATGGGATGTCCGAAAGCTAAAATAAGGTATATGGGCTTGGCATAATAACTGACACTACAATGTACAAATTATGCAAAATCATAAAAAATTCGAATTATAACAGAAAATAATTACAAAATAAGTTCTTGTTAACTGTCTTCATACTGGTTCACTTTCTGTTCTTTCTATTGTTTACTGAAGACTTGAATATTTTGATGAAGCAGTTGATAAAACAGTGACCTTGACAGCTATTTACATTTCGAAGCTGAATTGCCCTTCTCACGTCGACACTAGGATTGTTTGCAGAAGTAAAGTATGTGAACAAGCCAACCAAGTCTTGGCGTGATACCATTCTCTGAATTAAAGTGGATGCCACTTCTTGAACAGAAACAATAATTTGTGTATATTCTTGATCTCCTTATTTTGGGGAAGATTTTATCCGCTTTGGAATAAATTTTGGAAAACCGCCATAGGAATTTTGGGCACAAGAAAACCCAAAATTTCCCCATGTTTGGAAAAATCCCCGAATTTTTTGGGGAAATTTGGGGTTTTTCTCATTTTCTCCAGAATATTATAACACTTTGGATTTGCTTCCCCAAATTTCCCCAGACATTGGGAAAGACTAATAAATTTCTTACGGCTCTTGGGGAAGCCCAAGAATTTATCCAGAAATCTCGAATGTTTCCCCAAAATATGGAGGTTGGGTTAATACTTTGTTCACGTAGAAATTCCCTATCAGCTGTAATTGTATAACTTTTTCGGTAAGACTGATTTATGGACGAGCCAATCAGAAGCGTTTGAGGACTTTCAAGGTCATGGCGCTAACATCAATAGGAAATGCTCACATTCGATCGTTTTACAGCAGATTTTAGAGAAGAGGTGATTTTTGAGCAACAGATGGGATTATTAAGAAGTTCCTGTATCTGTGACTGCGGCAATCAACTGACTGCAACACGATGTGCAGACTACCGTGATGACATTAGATTTCGTTGTTTTATATGTTAGAAGATAAAATCTGCTCGAACTGGCACTTTCTTCGCTCGATCACGACTCAGACTAAGGCAAATCATAATTTATGGACGAACCAATAAGGTATAAGATAATAGGCTTCATATATTGGCGCGAAACTCACTCATCCAATTTGGTTAAATAGTTTTGGCATTATAGCTGATGTCAGTTCGTGATGGAAACCCGAAATCTAATTCCTGACGTTATTTATCAACTGTAAAACAATTCTAATTCCTCACACAGGTTTAGAACCCTCATTTGGTCATATATATTAGGTGGACACTCTCAAGGTCAGTCTAGCTTAGCTCAAAGGTCGTCCATAAATTATAGTCTCACCCTTGTTGCTCTATGGACATCTCTTAAACTAGAAATTAAACTGGAAATGTTTTCAAGTTCAAATAAGATCCACGTTTTTAGTTCTCAATTACTTAGACATAAGTACTCACCTGTCACATAAGTTTTCCTAATGTAGGCTTTATAATGTGCACTTGGATGATGTCTGTTAACAAGTTTATCGAGATTACTTCATATTCTGTCGACCATATAAGTCTATTCGTTTACAAGTTACTTCAGTCGGCTGAATACCGGTTATTTTCTCTGCGTATCAGTACTGAAGGATACAATCTTAATTCATCGTGATTAGACAAAACAGATTAAAACCAGAATGTCAATTATCTTATATCTGTTTGTCAAAAAAACTTTTCCGTAGTGATCAATCCCTGTTTTGACCTCAGAGCGCGGCGATTATAACCATTAAATGGTTTTTATTATGAGATCTTGAGTTTATTTGGGTGTTGGAAAATTAGACACAATACTTCCAAAAGTTTTGTCAAAGAAAACATGCATAGCACGTCATTTCTTGAAAAAAATCTTTTTATTGTTAAAAGTGTCCTAAACATATCTTACAAACATTTAATCAATATTCATACATAACGGATACTGTATCACTACCTTTCTCCTGAATTAGATGGAGAGACTATAATTTACGGACAAACCAATCAAATTTCAGTTAATAGGTTTTGAATTTCGGCACGAAATTCATCCATCCACTTGACTATATAGCATTTTAGCATCATAGCTGATATCGGTTCTTAGTGACAACTCTAATTCCTGAAGTTGACGTCCAGCTGCAAATCCTAATTCTTCACACTAATTTGTAACCCCCACTTAGTCCTAGTAGGCAGGCGGACACCCTTAAGGCCACCAGCATTACTCAAAGGTCATCCATAAGTTATAGTCTCCCCAAATGTTTTGCAATCATTTATGCTGCTACTACCACTTTTTATATCCATCTTGATAGTTTCATATCGTTGTGCCTATGGGTTTTAAGTACCTGAACCATTGTACATATGTGCCAAGCTCTGCGTTTCTTATGTCCGACTGACCGTGACAAAGGCAAACAAGTACAGGTAGACCCATTTTGGATTGGCAGTAACTCTGTAATATAAACTGTTACGTTCGTTGTTCTGTTCCGTTGGATTGATGCTACCATGCTATTTAGATCAAATATACATGAAGGAGGCTTTAGATCTCTACTCTAGTGACCAGAAGTGGAGTGCTCGAACCACCGAGACATAAACCGTTGGACTTATATTATTCATCATATTTATTCCCGTATAAGTTTCTTGTCCTTCTAGGATAAAAAGCGGCACTGCTCCGTCGTTGATATTGCAGTTATATGTATGTTAACGAATGCTAGTCAAAGGTGATACATATATTTAAAAATCTACGATCGAGCTACTACATACTTAATAACGTCCTACTTTCATTTTTATGTATACTAGGAGTTTTGGCTTTAACATCGTCACAAATGCGATTATCGCGTAGCAATTACTTCCTACGTCAAAAATGCATCATTTTTCGTCAAAAGTGTAAATTGACGGAAAACGGTCCCATTCGTGTACGTTTCGCTCCAAGTCCTACAGGTTTAATGCATTTAGGCGGTTTACGTACTGCCTTATTTAACAAGTTGTTTGCTGTGAAACATTCGGGGAAATTCATACTACGTATTGAAGATACGGATAAGGTAAAGTAATTATTCCTACATGATTATTCAGTAGTCCAGAGTTCAACCATATGCTAAGGACGATATTATCGAGTCGCTTCACTGGTCTGGACTAACTCCTGACGAAAGTCCAACCACTGGTGGAAATTATGGTTCGTACATTCAAGTATGTTCGTTAGAATTTTGTAAAATGCCCTTATCATAAATGGTCACTATTTGGAGAAGTTTAATTAGTCTGAAGTTCATTCTTGTGTTGTTGCTCAACAAGTACGGTACATATGTGTATTTCGATCACTTTACACGTCAGGTAATGATAGTACTTACCCACTTGAATCAGTCGGATCATGTTTTACTTTCTCAATCGTGTTGAAACAATTTTGATAATATTTTGTGCACTAATTATGCCATTGGTCAGTTTTCAAGACTCCTGAAGCATGTATCAATAGCCACAGAAACAAATTGCTTATCTGAATATTAGCTTTTTCACTTGTTTTTTTTTACTTTATTGATTTTTATGTAGTCACTTAGAGGGTAGGTAATTTTAATTGTTATTACTGATAAAATATCTTTATCTTACAATGTCATATACTTCTGTTGTTGCTTTCATTACGGCTCAGATTAATTGATTTTTCCGACCCCTAGTAAAAGTGGCATTCAGTGCTCGAACTTGCCAATAAAGCAGTACTAATATTCTTTACAATAGCACCATGTATATGGAATATTGGAATATGAACATGGTTACTTAGTCTTAGTATATGTAGCAAAAATATTTTATTTGTTCCAGTGGCTATAGTTTTCTTTCTGGATTAAGAGCTGGTAGACCAAAATGTAACATAAGTTCATGCAGTCGTTGACTGTTGGTATAAATTATGTCGGTCGATGCTAACTTACTGGCTGTGGTCCACACAATACCTGTGATCACTGACATGGCGCCAAATCAGTCACAATCGCTCAGTTGTATTTATTCATTAATCATCTGTAAATCGATGTAGTTTCTTTTTATTCGTCGGGAAACACACTTTACTGTGATAGTTATTGTTTACTATGTGCTCATAGTTCTTATAATCATTATACCTGAATTAGGATTGAATAGCTACTTGTGGAGTCTTTTCAGTGAATGATTGAAGGTATCCGTTTACATACCGGGTGTACACATTTAATAACTTACTAGTTTGATAAGGTTTAGTGAAAATGAAGTGTATCAATTGTATATATCTTTATGTTATGATCTCCTATTACGACCCAGCTACTCTTATTTTTTAGTATTCGGACACTACGTCACTCGACTAGTCGCAAAATCAGAACACGATTGGACAGGAAGGTAATTATGCTCTAAATAAACAGGGTTAAAGGGGACTATGAGTCACAGTAAAAAACACGTTAATATGTTTGTAATTTTATGCGAGAAGATTCTAGAGTCTTCTCCAATTATTCTCTTGCATCTATTGACCTAGAAAGGACCAATCAGAATGCTTGAATGTAGTCCTTCACGGAACATGCTTTAATTCAATATACACCCCGTTAACACTATCTATTTACGGGAATAATTCTAAATTGTAAAGGTTAGGTTTATAAATCTCTTTATTTAATCATAAAAATCATTTGTTATAATTCTTCATACACCCTCATTAGATAGTCATCGTCCTACGTTGTAGCTGACTGACTGGATAGTAATTCTCCTGCAATTCGGCTTATGATACCTTATTTTCAGCTCTTTATAATCATTCACACAAGTTAGGTATCGTATTAACTTTGTTATGCATTAAATTTAACAATCACCTGCAATATTCATCTAGGTTTACGTTTATTTGATAACTATTTCCAGTGTAAGCATATCTTTAGCATTAAAAGCTTGTTGTATTGACATGAAAAATATTATTTCCACATCATTTTCTGTTTTCTGTTGGTCTTTTAGTCGGAAAGAAGACCCCTGTATTCATCTATTGCTCAAAAGTTAATTGATGAAGGATTTGCTTATCGATGCTTCTGCTCTTCAGAACGACTAGCTATCTTACGCAAGGAACAAAGTCGTCGTAGGGAACCTCACCGTTATGATAATCGTTGCCGTAATTTATCTCAAAGGGAAATCGACGAAAACTTATCAGCTTCTCGGCCATATGTTATTCGGTTCAAGGTTTGTTATTGTTCTCATAATAATTTACAGTCGTTTTTAAGTTTGAAAAACCATTAAGTGTTGTATTTTCGGAAAACAACATATTAAACTGCGGTCACAAGAGGCTTTTACACCAACCGACTTTCGGGATATTCAAACTACTAGCCTGAACTGATCGTTTTCATCTCCGAACCCGAAAGTCCCGAGTTCTACGTTATTTTCCATCATGGTTCCACGAAACAGTAAAACAGCTTTTTCAGTCCTCCACAGTTTTCAGTGTTTATTCGTCTAATTAAGCTTCCTGGTATTACAATCGTAAATGCTAAAAAACGTATGATCGACTAAAAATTCGCAATAAGTGTGAACAGTTACACACCATTGAAGAATCGTAATTTCATTAGTTGTCAACCATCAGTCTACGTCTGAAAATCACTTTACTTCCCATTTAAAATAATAAGAGTTTTGAGTAACGTCAGATCAACGAATCACAATTCAAGGGGACAAGTTTTTTTTTAAAATTGATGTGTAAGAATGTACAATACTAGTGGACGAACTCTTAGATATCCAAGGTTTTACAGTTTATACGATCACTACCATTTTAGTATCGTGTTATATCGCACAGCGTATTAAAAGACATATGTAAAAGTTATGTTTGAATTAGTCGGTATTAAAATTAAAAACTGAATTTCACGTTCATGATGTCTCATATACCAAAAGAAAGCGCCATAAGTTAAAAGATCATCAAAGAAAAGGGGGGCAAGAAGGAGTTGACTTATGTATATATATATATATATATATATATATGGATTTGTTGATTCTTAACTGCATGAAGAACAGCAAATAAATGAATAAGATTTTTAGTACCTACTTCTTCATTCTTAATCAGCCCACAGATTTAAGAATATTAAATTCGTTGTAAACAAAATTAAAGAAATGGTAAAAGGAGTTAAGTGCAGTTTATAGTAGAAGATAAAGTAAATTACATGAACGATCAAACTAATTTGTAGTTATCAGAAACTAAAAATTAAAAAAATATCACTATAAATTAAAAAAATAGCGCTGTTTTTTAAAAATTGTTAAACAAACATCATTTGAAGAAAGTAAAATAATACTATTCATGGAATAATTGGAATTAGTGAATTTTGGTGGGAGATGTTAACATTTAATGAATTAGGTGAGATAGGTTTATGCAAAAATTGAAGGTAGAAAAGGTCAAACTAAAAAAAGATGATAAGGTAACAATTAAATATGAAGGAAATGAAGGATAAAGTAAGGAAAACGCTGTTAAAATGTGTTTTTATATGCAGGCCTAACCTTATTTTGCCTACACTTAACGCTTCTTTTTATGCGAGTGAGATATATGTGCACAGCTTTCAGGAATCTTGGTTTTATGTTATGCTTAGTATTGTATAAGCACAACGCTAGATGGTTATGCCCGATTACATGTTTGGGAATAGAGGATTTTATATTTCAGCGTTGTCCTTCACTGAGTCACTTTGGGATTGTTCTTCAATGAATGACCTGTGTACATAGCTCTTCAAGGGCAGGTGGATGAGTAAATGCACATCAGTCAGTTAAGGTTACTTATCCCCTTACGCAGTTGTGTATCAGTGAGCGACTAGTATAGGATACTGGTAATGACTCTGCAACGAGCGTCCTAGCGACTTTGACCAGGTAATTACTTAAAGTTTACTCCGCAATATCACCTTTGACTTCTGGATTAGCGTATAATTTCTTCGGTACATTCATGATATCTGAATAACCTTTAGGATAATTAATACTTTCTTCAGTGAACCGTTAAGTTACTTGTTCGATCGCATCGTCGACAGAAGAAACTAGGTAATTTATTCTCTTTGCGGTAAAACTGTGGTTTCAACTTTATGTTGTCTGTAAGCCACTCCTATCAGGACTATTGACATTTATTATTAGAGAAACGGTCATTTTTAAAATTTTTCTTGAATTTGCTTATGCAAATTGAAATCATTCTCACCAGTGACAAAGTTTTAACAAGTAGTAGTAATTGGCTTTTTTATTTCATATATGAATGTAACTTCAGATACAAGTATTCCATTTTTGTTACATATTTTTGGATATTATACGTAGAAAATGGGGTTAAGAAAGCCAATAGAGGATAACAGTTTTCTTGTTGATAATGAACATTATTTTCTACCAAGAGTTGACACGATTTTTGATATTGTATAAGGATAAGGCGTTAATTTTAGGTGAATGAGTCACTCACTTCTTTTATCTGGTAGGTTATTTTAATCACATTGGATTGGCAGTCAACAAATTCTACGGTGTTTTTTTTCACCTGCCTGTTGATACCTATATTTATTTTCCACCGAGGATTTTTTAATTATCGAAATTATTTTATCTTTTATATGATTTCCTTAGATTGATAATTCACCAATAGAAGTAAATGACATCGTTTACGGAAGTTCTGTCTTCAATTCACTCAATTCTGAAGGAGATTTTGTAAGTACCACTTTATTAACATTATTTCTTTTACTATCAGTACTGACAAGACTAATTGTTTTTCTATACAGCGCGTGAATGAAAATGCCTTTAGACTTCCGCTAGTGTCTAATTTGACTACAGTGAATGGAGTAAGCGAACTCGTTGACTACCTAATTTATTATGGAAATCTCACCAACCTCGATAGACTATTAGTTAACAAAGTTTCGTCACAGATACTAAAAGGTATATGGATTTTTTCCACCTTACGCTATCACTAGTATTAGCGACATTTTCTTCTGCATAACACTTCTGTACTATTCTACAACTATAAATGAAGAAAAATGGCTTGACTGAGTATTTGATTAGTTGGTCATCTTTTAAGATTAAGGGTACAATTTTTAAAGGTTTTGAAGCATCGTTTTCTTTGTAAAGTGAATTATGTTAGCTGAATATTTCGAATTAATTATTCTGTTCTTATAACTTATCTGTTACACTAATTTTTCAGTTTCCTACGGACTTAAAGATTGAAACTGTTACAAAAATATCAAGTATTTGATTAATCCTTTGATCATTGAAACAATGTTATGGCTGGTCATTGAACTCCACATTTAGTACATTTTGGTAATAAGTTTCATTGAATACGTTTACAAATTAATTTCAATTTGACTAAAAAGCGTGTGTTTACATTGTGTAATGTGAACATTTTGTAGTAAGTATGTACTTTATCAGATCGGCAATATACTTTTCTCATACAAGCATATAGTAGAATGACGTGTGGTCTTACAAAAATAATCAATAAGATATTTTGTACCAACTGTTTTCTTTGATTTATTTTATTGCTTCAAACAGATCATTGTGAAATCCGATGGTATGCCTGTTTACCATTTGGCCAACGTAATTGATGATCATTATATGGAAATCAGTCATGTTATTAGAGGATTTGTAAGTTTGTTATGTTTTTCCATTTCCCTTATTTTATTTCAATTAATGAGTGGCTTCAGCAATCAAAGGTTATTTTCACTAAACATTGAATTCAATAATATAATAGTGTGCAAAGGCTAATTTCCTCTATATCTAACTCCAATAAATAGTATCCCGTTTACTGAGTATTTACGCAGGCTAAATCTCCTAGTAGTATTATGACTTCGCTCAAAATTATTAAAAAGCCTGAATGCCAGTTGTAGAGCTGGTTTATTGTTAATGGCTAGTAAAAATACACAAGCGTGCAAAAAGCAAGCAACACAGGGAAACCAGTGAGAGTTTGTGTGTGAGTATTAAAAATCCATATATGTTTGAGTGTTAGTCGATTGTGCATAAGTTACTGATTGTTTGTGTGTTACACCTAATGGGAGAATAGATAAAGATTGATGTGCAGACATGCGCTCAGTCAATTTTACATGTTTAAATTACAGCAAGTAGACAAGTAATAAAATAGTTGAATTGGCTCACTACAAGTGATCACCTAGTATTCTAAAGCCTTTTCAAAAGTGGTCATTAGTATACACATACGGACATCATTAAGATAAAGCAAAATATGGCTAATTAGCATTTCAGTGCACCCTACTGGTTTATAAAGGGAGTAGTATGAAAGTAACACGGCATTCACTTGACCAAAATATTTTGAAGTTGATCCCTAGCAGATCCGTGGACGCCAGCTGTTAGGGAGTTCTACGTTATGACGAAACATCTGTTCAGTGGTCTCAAGTTTTCAACGTTTATACAGTCGATATCGATCCGTGTTGAGAAATCCGCTTCAGTATTCAACGGACATTGAATATGTTATGTAGGCGATTGTTTAGAAATACCTGTAGATTTTTTATGGTGGTTGCAGTAGTTCTCCAGATTTCAGCTCCGTACCGTAGAACTGTCTCGACGTTCGAATTGAAGATTCTGACTTTGATTTTGATTGACAGTTGCTTCGAGTTCCATATGTTCGTCAATTGTGCGAATGCTATCCTTGCTTTTCCAATCCTTGCATTTACGTCTACATCGGGTCCTCCTTGTTCATTTATGATGCTGTTCAGGTACGTGGACGTTTCCAACTCTTTCAGGACTTCTCCATCAAGTGTGATTGGTTTGGTGTTCTCTGTGTTGTATTTGAGGACCTTGCCTTTTCCTTTGTGTGTGTTGAGGCCGAATGATGCAGAGGCTTCCACTACAATGGTTGTTTTGACTTGCATTTGATCATGTGTATGGGAGGGAAGAGCTAGATCACCTGAGAATTCAAAATCGTCTAGTTGCATCCAAGTTGTCCATTGTACTCCGTGCTTCCATTCAGATGTGGATGTCTTCATGATCCAGTCAACCACTAGTGTAAAATGTGATCGATAGACGAACTCACCAATAATAAAGGGAAACGCCCACCACATTAACTCCCTTTGACCTTGTACTACTGTATCTCTTTGTTAACCAATCACAGTTTGATGTTCATTGTAAAGCAATATTTGCTTGTTGACTCATTTTTCCTATTCTCTGGCTACTGTTTGGTATGTTATTTGTCTGTTTTTTCCCTGTATTAATAGACCGTACAGTTTGTTTGTACACTAACGATGTTAATTTATGTTTTAGAAACAGATAAAGTTTATCTAGCCAAATAGCTTGCTTGTTCTGACTTTGGCCAAACCAAGACTCTGTATTCGACGGTCTAGAGAATAGTTCAGAATTAAACCTGTAGGAAATTGCTCCCTACAACTAGAAGATTGAGAAAGGGTGAGAGTAGGCAGACTTGTCTGACTCCGGTCCTAACTTGGAATGTGTCTGTTAGCTGTCCTCCATATGTGATATTTCAATGTAATCCGTCTTATGAATCCCATATGATGTTGACGATCTTCTCAGGCACACCATAGTGTCGGAGAGGTTTCTATAATGTTCTTCATTGTACGCTGTCAAACGCCTTCTCATAGTCAAGGAAGTTGGTGTAAGGTAACGAATTCCATCCAAACTATTGCTCAACAATGATCTGTAAATTTTGGGACTTTGTTCTGTGCACGACCGATCCTTACGGAATCTGGTCTGTTGATCTCGAAGTTGAGGGTCTACTGAATTTTTCGTCTAGTTCAGTAATACTCTGCTGAAAACGTTACTTCATACTGACAGTAATTTGTGGTCTCACATTTGCTCAGATGTCCTTTCTTTGGTATCTTGATGAGGTATTCTTTTTTCCAGTCAGTCAGTGGCACTTGTTCTTCCGAATATAATGTGGAGTATGTTTGCAATTACCTCTCTGTCTAACTTCAGTGCTTCGGTTTGTATATTGCCAGGTTCCGCGGATTTCGCATACTTGATTTGACTGATGACCAGCCTAATTCCTTCGATTGTTGGTGGAGTGACATCTATAGGAATGTCTGTGTGTGCTGCTTCGGTGTGCGTTGGATTCAGTGGAGCTAACCTGTTTAAGAGTTCCTCAGTGTTCTACTCATCTGTTTCTCTGTTCTTAAATCTCAATGATTGGCTTGCGTTCTTTGTCTCTGACTGGTTTACTGTATCTCCCTACCAGTTTCTTCGTTGTGTCATATAGTTGCTTTATATTTCCTTCTGTTACAGACTTTTCCACTGTCATTAATATGTCTTCCACGTACTTATGTTTTTCAGCTCTCATGTTCCTCTTCACTTGCTTGTTTGCTTCAGTGTATTCAGCTTGTGTCTTGACTTTCCCCGTTCTTGTTCGTCTGCTGTTAGTTGTTGTCTTTCTGTTTTTCCTTTCTTGAATCTTGTCCAGGGTTTCGATAGAGATCCATTCCTTGTGATGATGATTCCTCTTGAGATCTAGCATTTCCTAATACGTTGAAATTAGTGCTTCTTTCATCTCTTTCCGAATGTTCTCCATAATAGTTTCTTCTTCTTCCAGTAGATCTTGTAAATCTTCGAACTTGTTGTTGAGAGCTATCTTGAATTAGTTGAGTTTGTCAGTATCTCGAAGGAATGTTGTATTAAGCCTTTGTAATGCTGTTTGTCAGTTGTCTTCTTTAGCTTCATTTTCATCTTGGCAACCATCATATGATCTGAAGCTATATCAGCTCATCTCCTTGTCCTCACGTCTTCCTCTCATATAAAATCTGACTTATAATTTTTTCAAGTTCTGCGCTGCCTGAAGCCTTCGACAGAGTTTACCATCACTTACTATTATCAACTATCCATCTTCCTAGTATTGATTCATCTGTTTCCACAGTTTTGTTGTCCGATCATGAAAGAGCCATCAAACGCTCAAGTGAATTCAATAATCCTCTCTTACTTAAATCTATGTGATGTAAATACTCATTTCATATGTCAAAATTTATGGTATGCTAATTTAATGTCATTTACATCTCTACCCAAAATATCTTTAATTTTGCATATATTCTTACCCTGAAATATAGGAATGGTTTACTTCCACGCCTAAGCATTTGATGCTATACAAAGCTTTAAATTGGTCACCTCCACAGTTTGCACATCTTCCTCTGTTACTTTCCAGGTTAGTGGTAAACATTTTTTATTTTCTTAAGACTTAGAGTAGGCAATCACTATGTATGTATGTATGTAAACATAACTGTAATCATTTGTTCTGAATCGTTTCATCTACTTCGGTTCGCGCAGATGAGTTCCACCTTTAAGCTATTGCACCGGTCGTAATATACAAACCGGTAAATAACTTCTTAAGTGTAGCTCACAAAACGGTCAAAAAATTAGTAAATACTTGTTTGTCGAGTTAATTTTAATAATCATACAGCGAATAAACATTTCTCTTTTCTGTCATATCAATTTAGTTCAGGTGGTAAACTGTCTAAACGTAGTCCAGAATTCTCTCTTATCGGTAGTGTTCACAGTTTGCGTAAGGCTGGTTATATGCCGTCTGCCGTATTGAATTGGTTGACATCCACCGGAGGTGGTGTCTGTCATGATGATTCTAACGAAAAGGGCGACTTTTCGAATAAGTGGAGGCCTGAACTCGAATTCTCTGAATTAGTTTCTCGAGTAAGTTACAATTTTATATATGGGTTCTTTCCTGGTTCTATATGCTTGATTTTAATTTTCTAAACTCCTATATCTTCCGCTTTTTACCCTTGCCGTTTCCGTCGAACAACGTTAAAAACCGGAATCCGAAAGTTTAAATATATCAGTCCTACTTGTTCACGCACACAAAATCACCTCTCCAACACACTTTTGTGTTTTGTCAGGGGACTAAAACATCTATCTTGATAAGTATGCAAGATACTTTTAGACTGTTTGAAAGCTAGGGGATCGTCAATCGGATATTTTTCAAGCCTTATCTGGACATGCATTTACTTTGTCTTTTAAATTGTTGTAAATACAATCGATAATTTATCACAAAATACTACCCTTGATTTGTGGATCACACTAACTTTTTCGATCACCATAAATGGTGAGGATAATTGGAAGGGAGATTTACTAAGCGTTTGTGCAGCAGTTATAGAAAGTGAAAGATTTTTTCCAGTATAGACTACTGAATGTCTTGAACTATTAAGGCAGTGTTCTAAAGAAGATAATTTTGTTTAAGTAACCCATCGACAGACAGCGCGTAATTATATATTTCAAGAGAAGACGAGTAAAATGATGGACGGAACACTCTGAAATTAAATCCAACTGAATTAGATAGAACTGGTATGGCTCAAAGCTGAGCACATATATTTATACTTGGTGAGTTACATTGCCAAATAAAACCAGAAAAGTACCCGTATCTTCCATATTTTATAAGGAAGTCGAAGAAAACCAGCAAATTTTCTTGAATCATCTGCAATCACCTGATAAAATTATTGTAACAAAAGTATTGCTATTTTTGATGCGAGTAGCACTGCTCAGTTAGTTTGTCAGTGAAAACACCAAAGTCACTACAATATGGCAACATCCCATGCAAATGTATTCTGAAGTTCATCAATAAAACACTTTAAACTTCATTTCATCGAATGCAATAAATTTTAATACATATTTCTGGTTTTATATGAACTAGCTTGAAATGTACCATTTAATTATTCCATATAGTTCAACTTAAGTAATATCAATCGTCATAACGCTCATTTATCAACAGATTTGTTAAAAATATGCGGCCAATTTCATTTTGATAAAGCTGTAAACAATGCATTGGATTATTGTATAATGCATCAAAAGCAAAGTAATCAGACCACTTATAAAACTCCACAAATACTAGAAACAATTAAAGAATATCTGCAGTCAAATGTAGAAAACTTGTCTATTGGTAAAAGGTAAGACGCGCAGTATTTTAATGTCGTCATTGTATTTTAGCTCAAGTAATTTCATTAAATTTTCGTTTTATTAACCATTTGTCATTTTGGCTATATTTTCGATAGGCAAAAATAGAAGAAATGTTTAGTCACTTTGTGCTTTCACTTAAAACTTGGAGTACTGTTCAAATTCATATGTTCTGACAGAACCTTATTATCCAGTATATTTTTATATTGTTTATATTCTTAATCGAGCGTTCTTGGACCTACTATAACATTATGTCATTCTAGTGAAATTCAGAAGCCTTATAGTTATCACTTTAAGTTCTTACTAAACTTTACTAAGTTTCAATAACTTTCTTATGTTTAGCAGTTACACCATACTATTATTTTAGTCTACTGGGGCGGTTAATTGTAAAGCGAGGCGACTGCTGGATCCTAGTCTCAATAGGGTAGTAAACATACCATATAGTTATCAGAAATGTAAAGCACAAACCTAGACTCCATCACTAGCCATTATCAAAACATTTCTGCCTTATGTCCAGCTAGCAACCACGGCCACCTTACATTAGCTATCTCATCTACGCACGTAAGGGATGCATATAATTAAAAGTTACTATTTCTCATACAACTTACAGTATTTACTAGTCTTCAACAAGATTTATTTCTTACTGTTTACAGTTCTAAAATATATTTGGAAATATGCTAACCAATAGAAATTACGCCTACAGATTTGGAATTCAAATAATGAGTGGAAGTCATCTAAGACAAGATGAATAAAATGAAAAATCATGCTTAATATATTGTTAGTGACTCATAAGATAAACGTGTACATTAATCACAAATAGAAAGCAGAAATTCAATGGATTGTGAAAGGCGTTTGAATCATAGAAATACCACATGGATGTAGGATGATATCAATGAAACTAGAGTCATTTGTGTACAGTCATCATGCCAGTATCTGGTAGCGATAACGCTTAATTGTACCATTCTCAATGGCTTTTAACAGACGAATACTAGACTTGAGGGTACTTAGAAACCATTATAGACTTGAAAGGGCGGTGTAAAGTATGGTCTACTCACCTACTAATTTTCGCACATTTTAAATACAATTTTTTAAGCAATTTCACGCGTGAATAAGTATTGTTCCTTGCTATTGTACAGACTACTATTTTGCCTTAATATTTGTAGTCAATCTGCTCAAAATGATTTGCATGTGTTGAAACGATTGCAACTCTTGAAATGTCGTGTTCACTGTTTGGATGACTTAGTCGACCCCGATAATGGTTTCTTATTTATGTGGAAGTCTCCAGATTTAGCTACTTGTGAAGGCGTTATCAATAAAATTTCTATGAAAATACCTTTACAAGACATACTCAGATTGTTTGGATGTTTTGTTGAAGAAATGAATTATATTCTTCAGAAAGAACAAGTGAATGATAGCACAGATTTAAACTCTGATGTGATAACAACTTCCCTTCAGAGTGTCTGTGAACGTTCAGGAGTTGGACGTACGACTGTATTGCACCTAATCAGATTAGGCCTTACAGGATTCGAGGTAAGTGCTTAAATGATTCTTCTGTAAAAAAGCCAACTTTTTACTCTTACGAGCAATGAAATATTGAGAGTGCATTAGTTTTTCACCCATAATACTTATCATTCGAAATTACATGCACTGTTTTTGGGGTACGAACATAATATTCATCGCCTTAAAGTGTAGTTACTATCTTTTGTGTAACTGTATGTATACACTATTAGGAATTTTCGCCTACTTATTTACCGATGAGTCAGTAATCTAAAATTTGATTGAAATATAGTGGTAGCCAGCAGCTAGAAACGGTAATTAAAATGATGGAATTCATTAGATGATCAAACAGTCAAGTAGTTTCAAACTGGTGTTTAAAATAACTTTTTACGACCTACTGTGAATTATGTAGCATATATCCTGAGAGAGGTTTCATGATATCACGCGACCCACCGATTGCTGGCATTATCAATTTATTATCATTGCGAGATGTTTGACACTAGCAATAAGAAATTAATATGTTAACGAACGACACGCAGTTGAGTTTAGTGCGTCAATAACGATGTTAGCCTTGGATCATCCCAACGTATAAAATTTCTAATAATTGCGAGTACTTCATAATATAAATTATTACCTTTGAATATTCAGGTGGGGCCTCCTGTGGTCGAACTTATTCAATTGTTGTCCATACCAGAAGTGACTAATCGGATAAACAATCTAAATAATTTTCTAATACGAAACTGTTCCCAATCTCATGAAGCTTTGTAAACGGTCATAGCTGGTCTTACTATTTTTTCTGATTTGTATATTTAATTGATTCCAACTTTAAGATCAATATTATACTTCTTGAATCTAACTGCCTTCTATTATTGAACACTTTCATTAGATAATAACTCAGAAGTATCTTTCGTTAGGGTTAACCAAACATCTGTATAATTTACTATTAATTTCTAATGCAGTGTTTGGTTTCTTCGCCCCTGTAATATCCTTGTAAGGAGTGTTGACTATTAGAAATGCTTCGAAAAATGAACAAATATTTAGCTAATATATCAAAGCAGTCACAATATTACGAAAAAAGGAATTTAAAATATCTAATAAGTTAAGATTAAAATAAGCTTGAAGACTCTCAATTTAGTCTTGTGGTGAACTGTGTGCGTTGTCGAGATGTTAAACATGCCTATCATTCAAGTGTTTGATTTGCAATGTGCTATAGACTTAAATCCTACCCTGACTACCTGTCGGTTGGTATTGTTAGGTCTGGGCGTTACAGTCAAATCTGGCTAAGTTGGTTGAGTTAAATTATATTAACTACTGGATTCTTGAGGTCAAACACTGAAAAATTAATGGGTCAATTGGATTGCAAAATGTGTTTACTTTCTTGAGCCATGCTGAATGGTAGATTAAGAGATGTCCACTGATGATCTAAGAAGCACTAAATTAAAGATGCTGTATTCTCATAAATCTAAAGATCGCAACTGCCAATTTCATTCAAGAACATGGATTGTTTTTAATAGGTGACCTAAACAGCAGTAAGATAATTAATTTCTAAGCTTTTTAGTTTGTTTAATTTAATATCTGCTGTGCAACTACGCATCTTAGTTAGGAAAGCGGTACGAATCCCAGATAAAATCCTGAAATTTATTCATCAACGACTTCGTCTTACAAATAATAACAAACGATCTACCCATTTAATAGACTTGATTCTCATGTTCTAGACAAAATAACGAAAAATACCAAATCTGTCGTCACTCTACAAGTAAACGTAAATAAAAAGTAGATCTAGTTTTACCTGGTTGACCATGTTAATGAAACGTTTATTTTGTGGAATTGTATAGTTTTGCTCAATGTCAAAGACAAAATTACCATGGGAAGCCGTATATATTTTGTTTCAATTACCTGGTAGCATCATTCTAGTAGCTTAGCACCCAACAATCCTCATATTGAGCATAATTCTAAGAAAACTTTATATAGATACTCAATTGATCGGTATTTATTAAATTAAACTATAATATGAATACAAAAACTAACAGTCCAGTACAAATTCAGTGGATACATAGTCGATTGTAAGTTATCCGTTTTTTTTGTATTAGGATCTTCAGTTAATTAAGATTAATATTGATAGTTCGATTCGTTGGAGTGAATTTTCTGTGGAAACACACACAAAGAATGAGAAACATAAAATCATACCTTATGCTGACACCAGCTTTATTAAATAAATATTTAGCTGCTTGATTAGATTCCGTTCCATTCTTCTTATCCGAATAATACACTACTTCTTTAATTCCAGCCTGTATAATAACTTTAGCACATTCATTACATGGGAACATTGTTGTGAATAGTGTGCAACCTCCAGAATGAGCTTCATTACGATTCAGTACGGCGTTCAACTCTGCATGACAAACTACAAGTCTCTGTAATAAAAAAACGTTAACAGACACTAGACAGCATACCATAAAGATACTTATTTTCAAGTTCATTTGTTGATTCTTTTCCCCAAGGGACATCATCATCTAAAATACCGTTGGGCATTCCATTATATCCTATTCCAACAATTTTCTTTTCTTGGTTAACTATGCAAGCGCCAACCTAAGTTTGAAAAAAACACAAGGAATATGAAGATTGCAAATTAGAAAAACAAGAAATAATACAACTTAGTAACCATAAAAATATTTGAGTGCAATAAATTTAAAATCGTGTCGATTGTGTACGAAAGCTGACGATAATAACTGACTTTGTCGAAAACAATCAGTTTTTACGTTGCTATATCCAAATTTTCACGAATATAGGTTTATTTTACGTTCGGATTCTAGTGATGTTAACCTACAAGATTGGTAGACATACTAAAAAAGGGAGCAATCAAAGACTAAAGCAACACAGTGAGAAACATATTTCCAGGATAGTATTATTTTATGAAAATTAATCCTCTGGGAATGTGGATAACAAACAAGATTTTGAGGGACTCTCGGGATTTATCTGTCTGTCTAGTAAGTCAGTGGTATAAATACCCATTTGGGTTATCAGTCGGCTTTTTATAACAACACATGAAACTCATACCTAAGGGGATTTGCAATCTTTCCAAGTAAACCAGTTAATTGTGAGAAAACGGCAACAAAGTCGAGGTGGATTTATGGCAACGCTCAAACAAACGCTTTATTAGCACATTAGGCGAAGGTTATGTTTTCAATAAATGGTCTTTTATTCTTTACTTCAGTTGATATAGACTGTCATTATTATTCGATTGTAGGCATCTCTGACTTATTATTCATACATGGTAAGACTGTTTAGTGAGTAATGTTGAAATTATGCTGGGAGTACCAATTTGAGATAACTAATCAACTGGAGAGGTTGTAAACTGTCGTCAACTAAGTAGGTCGGAACATATTACCCATACCAAGCTACCACACAATAACTGTGGTCCGTAGTTAGAGATTAAGATATCACTTAACAACCGTCCAGAAAGAACTAGCACATCTATTCCATATCTTTCGAGAGATCCTGAACAATCTTATGCATTTCAGTATCCGATTTCATTTGTTCTTTCGGAACTACGCTTGGTTGTCCGTCACAACTGATTATACTTCGAATATTCTGCTTTTCATCTGATTGGTTTTTTAAAGCTTTGCTAAGGTGGAATACAGTAACTTGGGCTGAGGAAAATGTTGTTTGTGATTGACCATAGCCAAAAATTATTCGGTTTCTATTAGTATCCTTGAAAATTGAAACTTTACATATCTATTTGCAATATGAGAATGTTTACATGCAAAGCAACAGAGAATTATATAGTATCTAAAAAAACACTTACTTGAGTCGAAGGGTCTTTACTGCGCATAGCGGACAATAGTGCTATAGACATGAAATATTCATCCCATGATATATAATTGCTACGTTTTTGGTTCCCATTTAAACTGAGGCTTTTTAATTCTGGAGACAATCAAAACAGATATGTAGAAAACAGTGCGTAAAAGTGACCACAAAGGTTAAAAAACAATGTATTTACCATTAGTTGATGTAAAGATTAAAGCATTCCCAAACTGATACGTCGTGGAGGGGAAATCTGAGCTCCTGAACGTTGCACCTGGCATATTTACTGAATTACATCTAGGTAAGAAAGTGAAATCTTGGTAGTCACGCTAAGCTATCCCACAAATAAAGGTTGGGGTTTATCAAAACTAAAAGCCTTTTAACTCTAGAAATTAGAAAGTTGGGGGGAATAGGCGAGATGAAAATACTGACATTGATTTTAGAAGTTTTATTGCGTTCGAAAAGTTAACAGAACCCAGTCTTGCTGACATCCCTAGTACATTTTGGAAGTATACATCTAGGATTAGCTAAGAACAAGCAACTTACAATACAACCCGATGGTAAACACTCATATCAATAAAGGGAATGAAGCACTATCAAGTCTAACAACCATTGTATAAAACGCATCTAAAAGCGACAGCGATCGTCGTCTTACTCTTCGAAGTATGGGATTGTAAAGCGGCAAAGGTAAAATGTATCTTTTTCTTTGCGGATTTTGAACCGTATAAGTTAAGATAACAGACAACCAGTGGATTGAAAATATACGCCTTTGTAGATAGGGGTACTGGAACAAAACACTAAATGTCAATAATAACTAATTTGGAAATCGACCAATCCGATGACTGAATCAGGAATAAGAAGTCTCGAAGATCCAGATGAGTCATGGCTTCGATAAGTATCGCTTAACGTTGCTAAAATAAGAGATGTAATTTACGTTTGAGACAATATATTAGGACCAGTGTTTAAACTTAATAGAAATTATTTTGTATATTGATATGATTAGTATAGCTCCCCATTCACAACAAAAGCTCTGAATGGAAGCGTCTTATTAGTTGATTATTGAACCCGTGAGTCCTCACAGAGTATGCAGTTTCAATTTATAAACATAAAGACCAGCATATATAACAAATCGTAAGGGTTAAAGGATGTGTATAACTTTACAAGCAACATTTTTAAGTTTGTTCTCTTGCGAATACGAAAACACATACACGAACCTTAGACATCATGATAAGATTGCTTGCTACCTTAAAGTATAAAAAATTTTGTGGGGGGAGGGTTCGTAGAACTAACGTCGTCGATGACTACGACAAAATACTCATCGGAAACAATCCTCGGGCTGGAACCCAGATACTGAATTGGTGAAGTTAATATCTTAAATACTTTGCAAGGTTAAATTATTTAATCATGTCAACATAATACCAAATTAAAAGTACTTTCACGTACCGTTATCAACCATGTTCTTCAAAATACAATTATACAGTCCAAATACGGTATAAGTATTTCAGATATTGACGGACGGTTATGCCAGGACTAATGGGCTTTCATTTATCTGCAAGAGAAGAACATGAAGATTTAAATTGGAGATACAAAACTGGACTGATAAAAGCAATCAATAGATCAGCACCATATATGGACATAATGAAGACCAGGTACGGCAAGAACTATTGAAACCATTTCTACTCCCTGGTAATCCTAAGAGATCAGAAAGTTGACATAGTTGAAGACTGTGTGCAATGATAAGGTACAATATATCTACTTAGTAAAATTGAATTTGTATCAGTCTATAGTGATTTGCCTATCAAGAATTTACGAGAATGGATGGACAAAATATTCCAAGTCAAACTCACTTAGACGATTGTAGGATACGATAACGATAACATGATGTGCAACACGATTTTGGAAAAATGTAAACTCGTATTTAAACGTGAAAGTCCTCTTGAGGTGATTCACAAGCTTATCATTAGTTCACGCAGAATATTAATGACAAATGTATTCGAAGTTTGACGACGCCTTTATCAGTAACGTTTTCATACCAACCCAGTCAAATCAGAAGTCAGACTAGGGGGTTCGAAGATATATTTAGAAAGTTATCTATACGTAGAGAAGCATATGGTTTAAGCTGTGCAGTAGTTGCATACCCATAACGCCGTAGAAATGCATTCTAAACATCCTGGCATTGTTGCTCGGTGCTACAAAATACTCTGCATTTTATCAGTGTCTTCACCAAACAGGACCATGTTATCTGTATATTCTAAGTCAATCAGTGAACGTTCTGGTAGGAGATCAATGCTCGAAAATTCAGTCGACGAGAACGTTATTTCCAGCTATATGAAGTTGAACGAAAATGGAGATAGTGGACAGAATTGTCGGACACCACTTGAGGTTGCAGGAATAGATGACAGTTTGCCATAAGCTCTGACTTGACTGGTAGTGCTTGAGTAAAGAGATTTCACAAGGTTTACGTACTTCTGAGCTGTGCCTTTCAGTGACAGGCACTGCCACAGAACCTCTTAGACTACAGAGTCAAATGCTGTCTTTAAGTCAAGAAAAGCTATCATTGTCAGACGCTAATAAACACGCCCGTGTCCTAAGATTTGACGAATGGTGAATATGCGGTTGTCACAGGATGATTTTGAACCATTTTTATGTATTGGGACGATCAGTGATTGCGACCAGTTAGGCGGGATTATTTCCAACTCCCAGATTTTAACCAAAATATTAGTCAACCTAGTCGCTAAAACGTGACCGCATCGTTCAGTTCAACTTTAAGGAGTCTTCTTAATGGGATTTTCCTGCGTTCAACGAGGCGCAAACGAATGTATGCTAATATAGGACCACGACGAGTCTAAACATGTACTCCAGAACAAGAGGCGGTCTTCGATCGAGCCTCTTCAACGGTGACTGATGGCAATGTCGTCTATTTGAGTCCATCGTTGGTTTGGTTCAGTTGATCACCATGTTAGACGGTGTCTCTCCTTATGCTAGAAACTAGTGCTTGTTAGAAATAAACGAGTGTATGAGCACATAACACGTGTTATGTTGTACAATGTACACTGTTACGTAACAGTGAAAAATGTACAGTGATAATTTATAATAGTTAGAAGTATTCAAATTAAAAAAATTGCCAGACTCCTTCAAAGTTGCCCGCCGTTTCGTTTCAACGACCTTAAAGGCCTGACAAGAGGCGCTCATTCCGTATTTCAATTACCATGGGTTTGTTGGGTTGCATGAGTAATCAGTGCATCTTCAATAACAAATGAATAAATAGTTCGTACGAATACCACAAAATTTCAATCCATAGTATTGTTCGTCGGTCTTTTATCCTTTTCAATCATCCCGAAAAAGCATTGAAAAGGAAGAGTAATCGCGATTTTAAATACACTCATATGTGCGTAAGGACGTAAAATGTGCGAAAAAAAGAAAAATACCTGGACTACATGCATGTACATTAAATGCGATAGCAGCAAAATATTTTACAATGATTTTTTTTGAAGTATTCAAGAAATAAAATATACACAGAAACATGAAAATATTAAAGATGAATAGTGAACGCAGCGATAAAAACAAATAAGATAAAACAAAATTTATGTGTTGATCTACGTATATTAGCCGTTTAGGTGTTCTGGAAATATTACCCTTGTTCCACAGTGTTTTGTATTGGGCTAGTTTTTTGGTACTAGCGAAGTATGTTCACGATTATAGATTATCGCCGAAGGCATTGCAATTGTGCCGTCAATGGTCAGTGATGATAGTTGAATAGTAGCTGAATTTCGCTACCCACCGCTCGATGAAGCGAGAGTCACTGTTTCAGTAGTAACGTCGTTAATCAACATTGTTCCTGGCCATCGTGTGAAACGGCCAACACATGTTAGGGGGTAAGACTATTGGTTTGAATCTAGTAAAAGTCCTACCAAATCTGGATGGAAATGGTCAAAACGAGCATCGAGAGTTTTGAAGGAGCCTAAGATACATTTGGGTGAATTTATCCGCAACGCAACCATGTAAAATTAATGTATCGCCGAGGGTCATCTGTGCGTTCAAGTAACCACAGATTTTGTCAATTCATAACTTATTTTTAATTAAATAACTAGATTATGTAGGTAATTTTGCTCTGATTTTAATTTTTATTCACCACGTCCGACTGCGTTACACTGTACGTTCACTGCGCGCTGAGATGTTATCCTAAGTTATAGTGAGTTTAATCACATAGTTGATTGTTTCCAGATAGACCGTCAGTGCATAATGTTACTGAAGAAAGGTTTGTTGTACTGTAAACTATGTTTCTATGAACAACTGACTGTTGTCTACAGTCGGAAAACAATATATATATCCTTTGTCTTCTGTTATGTAAGTTCAACTGGCCAATATTTCGTGTTTTGATTTTATCAGCTTAATTATGCCCATTTAACTACTTTAAGCAACATGTTTGTGCAAATGAAACAATAACTATGACACTTAGTTTAGTATTCTTGGTTGTCGTATAATTCAGTTTAGTTGAAAGAATTATGGTATACTTAAGTATAGTGCATGAAACCTGTAACGAAACAGATCAGTTTAGTAAGTAGAGTTGCTTGTTTCTAATGAGGATACTGATTCAGATCAGTCTGATTAAAAATAGGAGAAAACGTGCCTTTGATGCTGTTGCTGTCATACATTATGAGATAGCGATAAGTATGTTTGTTGTTTATTTCTAAACTGTACATCTATCACTGACCATATTTCATGATCACTGTCATTAAACAATTTCCCCAGCAATAACATCGGTAGCAAGATAGCTAAGCGTCTGGGCTTTTAGTCGCCCGCAAAACAGCAGTATACAGTCTTAGAAGATGAGTGTTCTGTGTCTCAATTAAATGCAGCTGGCTGTGGACAAATGTCAAGACTCTTTTTGACAACTGGTACTTTTAGTTTATCAGACACTAACTCTGCTTGTATATCTTCCTGTTAAACTAGACGCAGATGCATGGGAATACTTAAATGGAAGCAAAATAATAAAAGCATTGCAATACTGTACTAAGCCCATGTTATGCTTTGCACAAGTAGTAGTAGCTGACCTTATCTAATATTCATGAACTCAAGGCAAATCACAACCGCATAAATTCTTTGCTAAAAAACATGTAACTTGGTTATTTATCTGTTACATATTTCTGACTAAATTCATCACTATTTTTTCATTTAGAATGCAACAGGAGTGAGCCTTCACAGACCCTAAAAACTGTTTCGCCCTTAGAACTATGGCCCTGTGGAACTGTTTACGGGAGACCCGACTAACAGCAGATTATAGAAAGGATGCTGGACGTCCATTTTAGCCTCATAACCACTTCCAGTATTTTTTAACTCTTTTTATTCTTTCGTCTGGAAAAAACAACAAAAACTGCAGCCTAACATTATCAATACAACTTTTAAACGGAAACTTGGTTTAAACGTTTGTTCGATATTCGATTCTTAATGAAAGTTCTTGAATAAATTTTGAATCTAGTGCTACTTTGTTTTATCTTCTTAATCATTACAAGAAACTTGTGATAAGCGAGCCTCTCAGCAACTAGTTCATGAGTTCAAATGGTTGTGGACTGAATAGAAGCTTTCGCTTAACAGGCTTCCGTGTCTAGTAACAGGGGATTACCAAAACCTCCAGGCAGGAACCTAGGTATGTTAACAATAAAAAAGGAAAAAGAAATTGGTAAATCATAGTATGATACTATCCTTAATCCTTAAGAATAGATCCACTTGCCTCTTAAAGGACTCCTGGGTAGTCGCTTGGACTAGCTCGGCGGGCAGCGAATTCTAGCATTTGACAACTCCTAAGCAGTAGAAGTTGCGTCTACAGTCCATTCTGCTATGTTGTGTCTCTAGTTTTTGTGGGTGTTACCCCTTAGGTCAGTGTTTGGACTAAGCTTAAGTAGGTGTTTAAGAGAATGTCCAGAAGTGTTAAGGATACTATAAGCCATTGGAAGGTCACCTCTAAGACGTCTATACTATAATGGGTAGAGGCTAAGTGATTTGAGGCGCTCTTCATAAGGTGATTTGGTGCATATCTTCGTCATTTTATTGGGAAAGCTACAGACTCGGGTCCTCTCATAACTTATTCTAGCCATCATGTGTTGCCACGGCAGCTGGTGAATGAAAATGCGTTACACATCCTAACCGTCACTGCGTCTAATCTCATAACTTCTTATTCAAATGTCATATGATAAGCAAGTAACGCCTCTACCGACACTAATGGAACACGAGTCAGTCAAAGGCACCCTGGATACTACCTTATATTGGTCTACGCATCCACTTAGCTCTTCGGTGAGAATATTATTACAGTCGTGTTAAAAATCCCATGAAACACCCTACCTCCATCAAAACAAATAAGTCTGTATTTGCTGCATACAGCAATTTTATTTTTCAGAAGTAAGATATAACAGTTAGAATTGGAGTAAAATGGCAGTATACAGCAGATGCACGTGGTACATGTCTTCATCGATTAACTGAAGTAGAGAATACGGATATTAGCTTAACAGGCTTATTTAGAAAGACTAGTGCCTACTTTGAACTTACTGCATGAGAAAGTTATGCTGGAACTACGGATAGTGTAGGAATCTAGTCCCCCAGCTCGTACGAAGCGCTCAAACTGGAAGACAGTTGTCCAAAAATAATTCGAATATGAAGGTGAAAATTTGCAGGTACTTTTCATCGTAAAGGTGAACATATTAGGTACCGGTTGGCATTATACCGTAAAGAGACACAAATTTGTGAGTGGTGAAGTATGATCTATAAAAAGTGAGCTTAACAGTTAATTATCTTTTTACCCCCCGATCATGACCCCTTGGCTTCATTTTATGGCCAAAACAGCAAACATACACTACACACTGATAGCAGATTTCCGGCTTTTCAATGTTGAACTTGCTTTAACGCACGACGTAATGAGCAGGACCACTTTATTACTGCTATATGGCATAATTTTATAACAAACCCTCTGTAATAGATTGGTAGCATCTGTGATTTCATCCATGGTTGTCGGTAGTCTGATTCCTTTCGAAAACTACTGATATTCCCTACTGCTGGGCATTCAGTATTAGTTTGACTTTGGTGGAGTTTTGTTCTCTGAGCTGGATGGTTTATTCGTGGAGCTTTCATCGTTCTTCTGAACGACATCATCAGCACAAACTTCAGATAGAAGTGAAGTGTTCGAATTTCTCCATACGTGTTTCACGGCTTGTTCTGTGCACCTCGATGTTGATTGGTTCTTGTTGACCTTCAATTTATCATTGTTTACTTCTTTGTTTTGGTTGTGTCTCCCATGGGTTTGATTTTTGTTCCTATATTTATGCATGATTATCCTGATTGGTTGATAAATTGGATTGATTTCAATGACATCAAGTTCACAATGGAACAGGAGTTGAACAACCAACTATCATTCTTGGATATATTGATCATTAGAACTGACACAGGAAAACTAGAAACTCAAGTATATAGGAAACCGACCCATACAGATCAAATTCTCAACTACAACAGCAACAATCCAAGAGCTCACAAAATCAACTGCGTACACACATTATTCAAGTGGGGGAGGACACACTGCAGCACACTGGCAGCACGAAAAAATGAAGAGATATACCTGAAGGACATATTTCAAAAGAACGGCTACCCAATCAAATTCATCAAAAATCACCAACGGTACGCAGCATCAGAATTTGATTGGGTAGCCGTTCTTTTGAAATATGTCCTTCAGGTATATCTCTTCATTTTTTCGTGCTGCCAGTGTGCTGCAGTGTGTCCTCCCCCACTTGAATAATGTGTGTACGCAGTTGATTTTGTGAGCTCTTGGATTGTTGCTGTTGTAGTTGAGAATTTGATCTGTATGGGTCGGTTTCCTATATACTTGAGTTTCTAGTTTTCCTGTGTCAGTTCTAATGATCAATATATCCAAGAATGATAGTTGGTTGTTCAACTCCTGTTCCATTGTGAACTTGATGTCATTGAAATCAATCCAATTTATCAACCAATCAGGATAATCATGCATAAATATAGGAACAAAAATCAAACCCATGGGAGACACAACCAAAACAAAGAAGTAAACAATGATAAATTGAAGGTCAACAAGAACCAATCAACATCGAGGTGCACAGAACAAGCCGTGAAACACGTATGGAGAAATTCGAACACTTCACTTCTATCTGAAGTTTGTGCTGATGATGTCGTTCAGA